ATCTTGGAGGTTTAGAGTCCATTGAAGAACATTTGAAAGGCATTGATGTCGACATCACGAAGAATATTCCCATCGATTCCAAAGTGTTTACCTTACTTGAAATCGATGAGCATTAGACTTTGGCATTGTGTAATTCGGCCTCATGGGCCTTTATTCTATCTTAGATTAGTTATTTATTTAGTTTAGAAGACATTGGGTTGGGCCTTGTTTGACTAAGTCCAATCCTTGCTTAATTATGTAATGTTATTTACTTTTCCTAGTAGGACAAGGAGTAGGCTATTTCCTTGTTCCTTCCTTTATGTAATGTTTTCCTTTTAACTTTAGGAGAAGGGTTATGCGTCCCCTATATAAAGGGACCATCCCCTCTTGTAAACATAAGTTGAGTTGATTAATAAAGTTGAGGATTATTTTCCCAAATTGATTATCTTAGCTTCATTGTTCTAGTTTGAGCAAACTTAGGGTTCTTCATCTTGTAGAGTCCTAGCAAGCAATTAGGTTGAGATAACTTAGTTGTTTGTGAATCTTGTGATCTTGAGAATTCAATTGTAGGTCTAATTGAGTGGTTAAGGCCGACGAAAGAGGAGGGATAGCTTTGTGAAGGTCATCGACATACAAGTCTAGAAGTTGAAGAAGTTCAAGTCGACTTTGGTGGATATTCAAAGGTTGGATTTGAATCTAATACAACTAGATTCGTATCATATTGAGTATTTGCCTTTTGGCCACTCTGCTTCTCGGAGATGAGCCTTGCTGTTTGTGCTAGGATTTGGCTGTTGGAATGACCATTCGTGAGTATGGTATTAAACATTGTCCCATGAAATGCTTGCTGCAAAAATGTCTTTATTTGCCGCTGTCTTTAAAAATTCACAACCTTTTCAATTCAGCTTTGATTGCTATGTTCTTGCAGGTTATGGAAGCCCCAAAGAATGCTCTTCAAGTCTCATGAAGACCATTTTGTCAAATGAGGTCATCTTGGGTGCCAATTTTGCAAACTCCACAGGTTGCGATTTCTGCCCAGGATTTCTGTAATTTTTGGAGGCCTGGACTGCGGGGCCCATATCTCCTCCATCCCAAATCCGAATCCTGCCGTTCTTGTGCTCAAACTGAAGCCCCAAGAGTCCTCTACGACTTTCGTTCACAAAGTTTTTCCGTTCGAGCTCTCGAAGGTAATCAAATTTGCACTTTTCCGGAACTGCGTTGTTGGCAATTTGCTTGGGCTGCCTTACTTTGCTTCTAACTTGCATTTTTTTACTTTATTTTTAGGAAAAGCCCATATAAGCTACTTTGGATGATGTAATGACATTGTAAGAGGGGATAACATCTTGAGCAAGTGTTGTAAATTAAATGCTTTGTTCTCCCACCTTTCAATGTAGCAAAGACATTTAACTCAATGCCTTTTATTTATGTTAAAGTCTATGCTTAGATTGATGTACTTAAAAGTGATGTAATATGCATGAAACTAAAGAAAGAGTGTAATGTAATTGCATTAATTCTAATATGCCTTATTGTAATACTAGATGAAAATGCAAATGCCTTAATTCTAACGTGCAAAAATAAAATGTAAACTCCTATTGATTTCCTTTCATTGATTTAAACCCAAACAGAATGAAAACCAATTTTGTATTTATTTATTAATCAAGTGCCGTTGCCACATTTACTGATACGAATCTAGTTGTATTAGATTCAAATCCAACCTTTGAATATCCACCAAAGTCGACTTGAACTTCTTAACCTCCTAGACTTTATGTCGATGACCTTCACAAAGCTATCCCTCCTCTTTCGTCGGCCTTAAGCACTCAATTAGACCTGCAATTGAATTCTCAAGATCACAAGATTCACAAACAACTAAGTTATCTCAACCTAATTGCTTGCTAGGACTCTACAAGATTGAAGAACCCTAAGTTTGCTCAAACTAGAACAATGAAGCCAAAGAAATCGATATGGGTATAAACCTCTCAACTTTATTGATTAACTTGACTTATGTTTACAAGAGGGAGATGGTCCCTTTATATAGGGGACGCATAACCCTTCTCCTAAAGCTAAAAGAAAAACATTACATAAAGGAAGGAACAAGGAAATAACCTACTCCTTGTCTTACTAGGAAAAGTAAATAACATTACATAATTAAGCAAGGATTGGACTTAGTCAAACAAGGCCCAACCCAATGTCTTCTAAACTAAATAAATAACTAATCTAAGATAGAATAAAGGCCCAATGGCCGAATTACACAATACTAAAGCCTAATGCTCATCGATTTCAAGTAAGGTGAACAACTTGGAATCGATGGGAATATTCTTGGTGATGTCGACTTCAATGCCTTCCAAATGTTCTTCAATGGACTCTAAACCTCCAAGATGAGATCTTACAAAGCCCAATAAAGCCTCCTTGAACCTTTTAGCCCGAGCCCTAGTCATTGGATCTTGCGGAATGGCTAAAGGATCAAATGGCCGGTCCTGTCCGGATGGCCCAATCGATGTCCGATTGTCGCCGGTTGGTGCGCCAAGCGATGGCCAGTTGTGGCCGGATGCCCCATGCGATGTCGCATGCGATGGCCGGTCATGTGGCCGGTGTTGCGCGGCTTCTCCAAGCAATGGCCGGTCACTTGTGCTTCCATGTCCATGCTCCTCCAAGCTAGCATCGATTACATCTCCATGATCTTCTTTGGCTCCAATGTGTTCTTCTAAGCCATGATAAGCCGTTGAAAAGGATTTGTCCTCAAATCCGCATCACTATCAAACAAGGATAAGTCTGAAACATTAAAAGTAGCACTTACATTGCCATATTCACTAGGAAGATCTAGCTTGTATGCGTTGTTGTTGATCCTCTCCAAGACTTGGAATGGACCATCTCCACGAGGTAAGAGCTTAGACTTTCTCTTTTCAGGGAACCTCTCCTTCCTTAGATGCAACCAAACCCAATCCCCGGGTTCAAAGATGACTTCCTTGCACCCTTGCAACGCCCTCACAAGAGCATACAACTCTTTATCATAGGTTGGATAATTTAATGCAGCCCCATTCAATTTCTCACTAAAATAGGCGACGAGCTTCCCACCTTGCATTAAAACAGCTCCAATTCCAACCCCTGATGCATCACATTCAATCTCAAAAGTATTGTTAAAGTTAGGTAAAACAAGCAAAGGAGCATTAGTTAGTTTATCCTTCAACGTCTCAAATGCTTCTTGTTGTTCATCTCCCCAATTGAATGGTGCATTGTTCTTCATAACACTTGTAATAGGGGCAGCTAAGGTGCTAAAGTCCTTAACAAACCTCCTATAGAATCCGGCTAATCCATGAAAATATCTCACTTGTCCAACGTTGGTGGGTGTTGGCCAATCTTTGATTGCTTTGATCTTTTCCTCATCAACCTCTATACCTTGCGATGAAACCACAAAACCAAGGAAAACAAGCTTGTTTGTGCAAAAGGTGCACTTCTTAAGGTTAGCATACAATTTCTCAACCCTAAGTACATCTAACACACATCTTAGATGCCTAACATGCTCATCTAGGTTTCGGCTATACACAAGAATATCATCAAAATAAACAACAACAAACTTGCCAATAAAAGTTCTTAAAACATGATTCATTAATCGCATGAATGTACTAGGTGCATTAGTCAATCCAAAAGGCATAACTAACCATTCATACAACCCTAATTTAGTTTTAAAGGCAGTTTTCCATTCATCACCCTCTTTCATGCGAATTTGATGATAGCCACTCTTAAGATCAATCTTAGAAAATAAGCAAGCACCATGCAATTCATCAAGCATATCATCTAATCTAGGAATAGGGTGACGATACTTTACCGTGATGTTGTTTATTGCCCTACAATCCACACACATTCTCCAAGTCCCATCTTTCTTAGGAACAAGCAACACAGGAACGGCACATGGAGAAAGGCTTTCACGCACAAACCCTTTTTGTAGTAGCTCTCCAACTTGCTTCTCCAATTCCTTTGTTTCTTCAGGGTTTGTTCTATAAGCTGGCTTATTAGGTATTTGCGCTCCAGGGACGAAGTCAATTTGATGTTCAATTCCCCTAATTGGCGGCAAACCACTAGGAATTTCCTCCGGAAACACATCTACATAATCACTCAAAAGAGAAACAATATTGCTTGGAAGCTCTCTTTCCAAGTCGTTAGTAGCAACAAGTGTATTCTTAAGCAAAAGTAAGATCAAAACAGAATTATCATTCAAAGCTTCTTTAATCTCACTCTTAGTAGCTAACATACACTCTTTAACAATTTTCTTAGAACTAGCATGCTTTTCAACTAAATCGCAATTCACATCTAATTTAGCATGTTTATTCTTTTCTTTAGTCCTAAAGTCAGATTCCATCTTAGCAAATTCCTCTTTCAATTTCAATTGATCTTTTAAAGCTTCTTGAGGTGATAAAGGAATCAAGGTAATAGGACGCTTACCACTCATAAAGGAATACTTATTTGTTTCACCATCATGATGGACCTTGTTGTCATATTGCCATGGACGACAAAGTAGAACATGACATGCTTGCATTGGTAGTACATCACATAGCACCTCACCATTGTACCTGCCCAAAGAAAGAGAAACTAAAACTTGTTTGTTAACCTTAATCTCCTCTCTATCATTGAACAATCCTAAACTATATGGTTTAGGGTGTTTAGTGGTGGATAACGCAAGCTCCTTCACCAAATACACACTAGCTATATTTGTGCAACTTCCTCCATCAATGATCACACTACTAGGCTTTCCATTCGCATACATCCTAGTATGAAACAAATTCTCCCTTTGATTTTGCACATCTCCTTTAACATAGGCACTCAAAGTTCTCCTTGCAACTAAGTTCAAGAGCGCCGGTGTTGAGCCATCACTATCATCATCTTCGGTTTGTACCTCTACTTCATCATCTCCATCTCCACTTGATCCAAGTGCAATATACTCATCTTCAATTACGATTTCACCATTGTCATTAGTAAGCATGACTTTCTTGTTAACGCAATCCCTTGCAAAGTGTCCAAATCCTTGACACTTGAAACACTTTACATAGTTCTTAGAAGATGAACTCGATGAAGATTTAGAATTGGATTTAGGGGTAGTACATTTTTGCGCCACTAACTCCTTTTCTTTTGATGACTTATCATCCTTCTTGATTGGAGTTTTCCATGAGCTTGATGATGATGAAAAGCTCTTCTTATTCCTCTTTACTTGACTCTCGGCCTTCAAAGCATGTTGAAGCAATTCCTCAACATCATAGTGTTGTTGCATCTCCACAATATCATGAATTTCTCTATTCAATCCCACCATAAACCTAGCTATAGTAGCTTGTGGAGCTTCATCAACCTCGGCCCTAGACATTAACAACATCATCTCGGAGTAGTATTCATCAACACTCCTAGTTCCATGCCTTAAGGATTGCAACTCTTGGTAGAGACCATTAGTGTAAAAGCTTGGAACAAATCTCTTCCTCATGTAACTCTTTAGACCCAACCAAGTGTTGATCGGCCTTTCCAAGTTTCTTCTCCTTGTTTGCACCAATTGATTCCACCAATTTAACGCATTCTCCGTGAATTCAAGAGTAGCAATTTGTACCTTCTTTGGTTCGGAATGAGGATAGTAATCAAAATACATATCCAATTTCGACTCCCACTCCAAGTAATCGGATGGAGACCCTCTCCCATTGAATTTAGGGATTTTGTATTTGATGTTGTCTTTAGGCTTCTCTCTTTCAATTCCTCTTCTAGCTTAGTCTCTCCATGGGATCGATTCTAGCAATTTGCCTCGGTGGTGGCGGATGATCCTCTTCATTGTTGCGTGCGACATTAGCTCTTTGAGGTGGTTGAGCTTGTTGATTTTGACCATCTCTTACTTGTTGGACTTCATTGGTCAAGATATCGAATTTAGTATCCATATTGTCCAATCGTTGAATTAAAGTTTGCAACATAGCAGCCACGTTTGGTTGCTCTTGTTCTCCTTCCATAATACCTACAAAAAGAACAAAGATTAGTAGTAAAAAATCCTCACAAGTGTGTGTGTGCTTATACCTTTGACTTGTGCTCTCGTGTTTGTACTCAAATCCTATGGATTGGCGGTCCACTACTCTCTTAATGATCTCACAAGATTTGCCTTTTACTAGCTTCAATAGGCCTAACAAGAGCAACTCCTAGAGCACTCCTTTCTTCTCGTGACCTACTTGAGGAACAAACAGTTAGTAGCAAAGTTATTTGTGAATCAAAGGGAAAGTGATCTTAAACCAAACCAAACCACTTAATGCAGGTTCCTTATGTCGAAATCCTTTTCCAAAGTTACTGCACAAAAACTCAATTTCAAGCACAATCACAATATCAAATTGGTTAGCATAAACCCTAGTACCACTTGTCTCCTATTTTGTACCACTTGAATCCAATAGGGTTTGTAACCTGAAATTCTTGAAATCAAATCACAATTAACAGCAAAAGCAATCCAAGGATCTCAATTACACAATCAATTAGAGTTATTGCAACTAATTAGATCAATTGCACAAGAAAACCCTAATCCCAAATTTTCCCAAACTAAGAACCCTAGTTCCTGGAAAAAATCGATAACAGCACAGATTTTTTTGATTTTTTTCAATATTTTTCCCAGAAAGATCACACCAAAAGTCTAAAACTCAAATTTCACAGCTTTCCGAGTTCAAACGAATCCAGAACAAAAATCACAAGTTTCTGGTCGAAATTTATTTTATTTTATTTTATATTTTTCGATATAACTACTAGTTATGAGGGACTCAAATCTGAAATTTCAAAGCAAAACGATGCAAGATGAATCGGCTATGAATTTTTGAAGTTTCTGAATTTTTGAATTTTTCAAGAAGGTGGTGCGATGACTGTTTGGGTGTGTTGTGATGGATGAAAACGTGATGATTGATGTATAGAAGGATAGATTTACCGATTGAAGATGACAACCTATGCTCTGATTACCAATTGATACGAATCTAGTTGTATTAGATTCAAATCCAACCTTTGAATATCCACCAAAGTCGACTTGAACTTCTTCAACTCCTAGACTTGTATGTCGATGACCTTCACAAAGCTATCCCTCCTCTTTCGTCGGCCTTAAGCACTCAATTAGACCTGCAATTTGAATTCTCAAGATCACAAGATTCAGAAACAACTAAGTTATCTCCACCTAATTGCTTGCTAGGACTCTACAAGATTGAAGAACCCTAAGTTTGCTCAAACTAGAACAATGAAGCCAAAGAAATCGATATGGGTATAAACCTCTCAACTTTATTGATTAACTTGACTTATGTTTACAAGAGGGAGATGGTCCCTTTATATAGGGGACGCATAACCCTTCTCCTAAAGCTAAAAGAAAAACATTACATAAAGGAAGGAACAAGGAAATAACCTACTCCTTGTCTTACTAGGAAAAGTAAATAACATTACATAATTAAGCAAGGATTGGACTTAGTCAAACAAGGCCCAACCCAATGTCTTCTAAACTAAATAAATAACTAATCTAAGATAGAATAAAGGCCCAATGGCCGAATTACACAATACTAAAGCCTAATGCTCATCGATTTCAAGTAAGGTGAACAACTTGGAATCAATTGGAATATTCTTGGTGATGTCGACTTCAATGCCTTCCAAATGTTCTTCAATGGACTCTAAACCTCCAAGATGAGATCTTACAAAGCCCAATAAAGCTTCCTTGAACCTTTTAGCCCGAGCCCTAGTCATTGGACCTTGCGGAATGGCTAAAGGATCAAATGGCCGGTCTTGTCCGGATGGCCCAATCGATGTCCGGTTGTGGCCGGTTGGTGCGCCAAGCGATGGTCGGTTGTGGCCGGATGCCCCATGCGATGTCGTATGCGATGGCCGGTCATGTGGCCGGTGTTGCGCGACTTCTCCAAGCAATGGCCGGTCACTTGTGCTTCCATGTCCATGCTCCTCCAAGCTAGCATCGATGACATCTCCATGATCTTCTTTGGCTCCAATGTGTTCTTCTAAGACATGATAAGCCCTTGGCGCATCAGGATCTAAAGACAGTTTCTAAAAAATATTTGAATGTGAATCTGAAGACAGTTCACGAGGATGGATCTGAAGACAGTTCCTAAAAGATATTTAAGAGTGAATCTGAAGACAGTTCACTAAGATAGGTTCTGAAGACAGTTCCTAAATGATATTTAAGAGTGAATTTGAAGTCAGTTCACGAAGAAGGATTTGAAGATAGTTCCTATGAAGTTTCGAGAGACCTGAAGACAAGTCAAAAGACAATAAGGACGGTGTCTACATCTTTGCGCCTTTACTAGTTCCCAAGAAATGTCGAAAGCAACCCTTTGGCGCATTCCTCGATAACTAGCAAACGCACAAAGAGGGGCAGCTGTAGACACGTTATTTTTGCTAGGTGCCCGTCATGATTAGTTAAGCCTTTTTCAATTTTAATTAAGTCAAAGTCTTTATTAAGCCTTAAATTAAACCCGAAAAAAAAATAATTCCCCTTTGCTTACCTTTTCTTCATTTTAAAACCCCATTCCTTTGCATGGTTCCTCCGATTTCCCTTTTGAGTTATGTTTGGGTTGTTTTGCTTTGGGTTGTCTATTCATTGGGCTAACCTTACTTTGGTCTTCTAATTTCACCTTGGGTCAGAAATTGATTTCATTTAAGTCCTTTTGGGCTTTTGTTTTATTTGGGCCACTCCATTGAAATTCCTTTGAGTTTAGGTTTCAGCCTTACCTTCATTTTGGGCTAGTGCTAGAAATTCAAGGCAGGATTAAAGAAAATAATAAAGGAGCAGGTAACTAAAGTGGCCTTCATTTCCTTTTATTAGGACTTTTTTACAAAAAAAAACAAACAAAACTTACATGCCAAATAAATGTAAAGTAGACCATGTGATCCGTTTTTCTCTCCCTAAACTACCCTTCACCAAACCCCAAGCTTCAAGTCTCTACAAGGCTCCTGCAAAACCAATTTCAAAGCACCAGTCAGCATCCATTAGGCCAAAACAGGAACTAATTTAATGATGAGTTAATACTAATGAGGAGAATACTTATCTTTTTTGGGCATGGGGGATCTGTAGACACCCATTTTTATTCTATACCCTTCGATATAAGTCAATTTATTTTGTTTTTGGCATCAGGGTCACCTTGGGGCATTTTTGTCATTTTTCGCACTAAGGGCATTTTGGTCATTTGCATATTCAGGGGTATTTTGGTAATTTTTAGTGCACTTTTAATTTAGGTTAGCGAATTCATTTCTTAGTCGTCTAGATTGCATTTGAAAAAATAAATATCTTAATGTGCACCTTTGACATTGTTATGGTTTAGCTATATTTAGAAATTTAGTATTGTTGCATGTCAAGTCCTTTTTATAATAGGCCTAGTTTGCAATTGTCATTTTCATATTCTTTAAAGTTTATCCAGTTTAGTTTCATTGATCATATTCACTTCTCATGTAAGCATGGTCATATTTTATTATCATCTACTCCTTAATCATGTTTTTTTAATTAATTAATTATGTTTGTGTGAGCATTAGTTAGGCATATTAGTGACGCATATTTAGTTGCATGCATATTACTCCCATTTGAACTTTAATTTAATTAAAGTCTGAAATTGGGCTAAGCCCATCTCATTGTATTTACATTAGGAAGCCTGTGGTTCTTTCAATCTCCAAATAAAATTTAAAAAAATTTATTTTTCCTACGCAGTCAAAAAAAAAAAGGAAATAAGAGTCTATCCCAAATGCACATTCCCCTGCCATTCTTTGAAAACCTGCCAAGAACCAAAAAAGAAGATTAAGGAGATTGATCCCTATTGTAAGACTAATTTAATCATGAGTTTGCCATTTATTCATGCCCTCATATTATACTTCATAAGAATTGACAGTGCACAAATAGAAAAAGTACTTTGGAGTATAAAGTGATGGCAGCAAATACATGGAAATTCAAAGTGACAAAGTATGACCAAATGAACGTACACATGTGGCTAATGCTAGGATTTGTACATATCATCGTGTATGTGGCACTATTGAAAGAGATTCAATTCAAGAAGGTGATGAATCAAATGACTCAATCAAGCACAAGGGCACTTGCACAGAGTCTAACAATAGGCTTGAAAATAATGGAACAAAGCACATGGGAAATAGCCAGCAAAGTAGGACAGTATGCCTATTGCCATGATACAGTATATGTGGGTACAGGAAGGAATCATAGCAACTCAACTCAACAAGAATTATCAAATTAAAGTCAACAATGATAGGCATGTGGTCAAATGTATCAAGGGCAAATGTTTGAAGGCAAGCAAAACAGCAATCAACAGAATATGCATTAGCCACACAATAACCAAATTTGGTCATTCGATGAATTTACCTGGAAGATACGTCCTCTGCCAACTCACCTCAATCCTTATCCCTTGGTTAACAACCTGCAAAAGGACAAGGAAAATGGTTAGAAGCGAAAAAGCAGGAAGGAGGGATTGGATCGAATCTTCTAGAGAGGGGAATCGTTGGGAACAGAAAATGGACTGCTCTCTGGACCCTTTCTTGCTCGAAGGAATTTTCGGACTCTCTTCGTTACCTCACCTCTTACTCTCTCTAGGGAATCACTCTTTGAAGGCTCACACTAGAAAAAAAAAAAAAAAAAAAAAAAAAAAAAAAAAAACTCAATGGCTCTCCCTTCATTCTCCTGAACACACTCAGAGACCCTTACTCTACAAAAACTCAATCTTTCTTCAATCAAGTTCTTCCTCTCACATCTCTCTTCTCTGGATATAAACCTTCTTTTTCCTCTCTTCACTGACATCTCTCTCAAGTACACACATAGCTTCTCTCTTTGAAAATTACATACAGAAATTCACGGAGAGGAACTTACCTTTCTCCTGCTTTGGAAACTCAAAAAGCCGAGCCTTGTTCATCTCCTTTGAAATCCAAATTGAACCATGTTCGTTGAAATTACTTGAAGGGTTTTGGGTTTTCGAAGGCAAGGATCACGAATCCAGTGTCATTTGGTTTAAAAGGAGAAGCCTTGAACGAGTTCAGCCCAAGAGAAGTAGAGATAGACACTAGTCAGAGAAGAAAGTTGCATCGAGGAAGAGGAAAGAGAAATAAGGAAGGAGAAAGAGAGAACGTGATAAAAGGGAGATCCAATTAAGTCCAAATGGCGTCGTTTTAGGTACAAACATTCCCACTCTTGGCACTTAATTTCATGTTGTCTTCAATTTAATCCTTCTCTGTTTATTTTAAGCCTTAATTTCTTCATGGTTGGTCTTAGTTTGGTGCCTCTATTTGTTTCTAGTCAACTAGAAGTTTGTTTCTTTTCCTTTGATAAGTAAATTGGTTAGATTTATTTGTTATTAACCTCAATTTGGTAGTTTTTAGAGGTAAACATAGTTAAAATTGTTGTCTTTAATTGTTTATGGCCAAGATTAAGCTTTAAAGGTTTAAAAAATGATGATTGGAATTTGGTTGTGTTTAGATTCCTTATAATGTTAATTTTGACTCAAAAATCAAGTCTCTAGCCTAAAGGGTTGGTTCTTGAATTAGGTTTAATTTAAAGATTGATCTTTGTTTTCTTCTCAAGCTAATTTTAATTGGAAAGTTCTAGTCTTTGGTTTAAAGCTTGAATTTTTTGAATTAGACTTAGCTTGTAAATTGAGCATTAAATCATTTTGAGCTAATTTTAATTTAAAGATCTAAATTTTGAATTAAAAGTCTAATTTTTAGATTAAAACTAGCTTGAAAAGGGGATTAATAGATCTTTTTGAATTACCCCTAATTTAAAAATTAAAACTTTGGCTTAGTGATTTGATTTTTTTTGGGATCGGCTTAATTTGGAAAATTGATTTAGTTCATGCTTGTTTAATGATGTGTTCTTAGATCTACTTAGAGACCTAGACTTGTTTCCGAGTTCATTTGGGTCCTGGACTTTATATTATTGGTTTCCAATTTATGCTTTGCGTTTCCTGAACTTTGCTAATTGTTTTCCTTAGTGTGAAGAGAAGTCCCCAGAACTGTCCAGTTTGGCCCTTAGCTTTCAGTTTATTTATTTTCATTTGGGATTTGGAATAATTTAGTAATTTAGTAGATAAGTAAAGTAGAAAGTAATCACATGCATATCATGTTTATTTGTAACTAATTATAATTGTTGCAACTCATGCCACCTTTATCTGTTTCGATTAATAAAGGGGTGTTTTTAGCTACGACGGGCAAATTCCGGGTAAAGGTGCAAGAGCACGACCTCTCGGGATTTCGCCCCGAGATTGATTGGTCTTCACGAATATCCCTGGAGGGCCAGGCTAGGTTCGTGAAAGCCAATTCAAGTAAACTCCTTTTTATTAATCAACTAATAAAACCGAACCTTACATTCATCATTTCTTACATGCATTAATCAAGACTTAGGTTAAGAAATCAAAGAAAATAAAAAAAAAGGAAAAAATCAGAAAATTAAAAGATGTAATAAAAAGTGTTTTCAAAAATGTTTTTAACTATGTTCTCTTATTCAACTTTTCAAAAAATTAAACATGGTAATCCAAGAGTTTTCAAGGTAAGCATTTTCAAAAAAGAACTTTTTTTAATTCAAGCAATTCCAAAAGAGGATTTTTGGAAAGCAATAAAATCAATCCAATTTTGAAAAAATCCAAAAATGAAAAAATGTTTTGACAAAGCATCTTCAAAATCTCTTCCCGTGCGGAAGATTCAACAAGAGAACAAACAGTGAAAGAGAGTTGAAGGAGGAATTAATCGACGGTCGTTCGATTATATTCTTCAAAACTCTCGACATCTAAACTTGTCTTAAAAAACTTTTCTTTTCTTTTATAACATTTCCTATTAACAAACAAGACTGAGATAAAGCAACCATTAAGGTTAACCCATTAGATTTAGTTTAGAGGTACCGCCGTTTGACGGGCGTCTCAGGGGTGCTAATCCTTCCACGAGCGTAACCGACTCCCGGACCTGTAGACTCTGGTTAAAAGACCGTTTGTTAGGTTTAGTGTTACCTTCGCCAAGCTTAGGTTAACATTAGACTTAATAACCTGATAGGTGGCTAATCACACCTAGGCAAAAAAAGATTAGTGGCGACTCCTTATCTTTCCAAAGTCGTTTCGGCAGGGTCCCCCGGACCCGAACGTTTCGACAGGACCAAGCTTGGATGGTCCCCCTCGCCACATCAGCACCATATCAGCAATAGGGGAAACAAAGCAGTGGAAGGTTTACAGCAATTAAACACAAGCACAGGTTTAACAAAACTTGCCGACCAAGTTAATAAACTCCAGAGATTGGTCTGTAAAAGTAATCCGTTGCAAGTGAAGTGTACATGAGACTTGAGCAACCACCATTAGATCAGAATATTATTTCTAGAAGACAAAGATCAAGAGATGCACAAGACAAGTACACTGGAGTATAGAGAAGCAGTATGGTAGCAGATAAACACAGTATCAAAGTGTGGCATTCACAGGCCTGCACATGCCATACAACACATACACATGCTGAAGGCACAAGTGCAGAACCAATAACATTGATCCATAGTACCAAGTCAGGATTACATGTCACTAGAGAGCTACATAGGCAATTACATGTCACCAGAGAACCTCCTAAGCATCAACGACGACCAATAGATTTAAAACAGATGGCAATGAACTCATGATGTCATCACCAACAGCAACTTCAATCAGCATTGCACACATAGCCAATTTACAAGTAATCAGTGCCACATCAATACCAGGAGGAATCAAAAGGGACCGTAGGATCAAAAGGAAACCAATGGCCAACCCTCAGATAAAATCTAAACCAGACACATATAAACAACAGTAGCCTAAAACCCAAGGGAGAGGACACAAAACCCAAGAGACAAAAAAAAACCCAGTTTTCAGTTCTTCATTTTCTTTCAAAAAAAACC